TTAATTGAAAAAACCGTAATTGTTTCCCGCCCCCCAAAAAAAACACCCCAAAATTTTTTTATAGGGGTTTTAAAAAAAGAACCCCCTTCACTATTCCCCCTACCACCATCTCTACACACCCACCACCCTCACTACCAAAACCCAAACCACCATATCAAATCCACCACCAATTTTCACTACTCCACCATCCCCCTCACTACTCCACCCACCATATCATACCCACCCACCAAATCTCCACTCCACCCCCCTGAAGAACCTCCGTGAGACCCGGGAAAACACAGAGGCCTTAATGTTTCTGAAGAAATCTATGTTGAAAGGAGGGTTTCTTCTTCCCCGGATTTATAGGAAACCCAAAAAAGGGGCGAGGGGCCTCACACAAACTGGATTATGGGGAGTTTTCCTTCCGTTTTTGTCTTCGAAGAGCATGTGGGGTGGAGCGAAGTACCTACATTCCTGGGCACAGAGTTGGATTTGACTTCAGATAGGTGCCAATTTGTGCGGCGCATCTGAGGCTCGCTCGTAACCAATTCTGGGGTTTTCAACCAAAAAAAAAATCCCATGGCAAAGGATCGTAACCGGGAAAACTTGTAAGTTTGGGGGACCGTAAGTCAAGGTACCACGTAGTAAGTAAAATCAAGTACCCAACAGTAAATATCCTATAAATAGTTATCTAGCCATCTGTCAAGTGATGTGAAATTGATTCCTCATTTTTTGCTCCCTTAAGCTCCCTTTTTAAACCCAAATTTAAAGTTTTTGAATTTCAAAATAATTATAGAAATATTTAATAAAAAAAAACCCTTTAAAAAAAAATTTATTATTTTTTTTAAAACACCGCTATCCCCCCAAAGGGGGGTGAATAAACTGTTGAATTAAAATGTTTTTCTGACATGACATTTATTTTCATTTTTATTAAATTAGGGGAAGTGCAAACCCCAGGGGTCTACAGGCGGGGGAAAGGAGGTAATCATGTTTTTTACAAGACAAGGGGGCTAAACCCAAAACCTTGGGTCAAGAACCCTTCACGGACACCAAGAAAAACTTTCTGTTGATCCCAGTATTTCTGCCTTAGGGCAAAATACTGGAAATTCTTTTTTTTTTTTATACGGGGAAAATTTTTTTTTATTTTTGAAAATTCTTTGGGGAACCTTTGAAGCTACATGAATTTTCAACTTTTTGATTATTAAAACAAGGTGTGTTTTCTGGACTAAATTCAATGCAAACACATGCAAAACTCAAAAATTTTAATACAGAACAAAGTATAAATGGTTTAAAATTGCAAAATTGAAGATTGTGTGGGGAAGATTTTTTCAATAAACCCCTATGGCACAAGTTTCTCACAGTAAATTATCCCTCAGTAAGGGTAGTAATGATGAAAGCTAAACCAATATTTGATAAATTTAACTTTTTAAATCATTATACATTTCCTATTGCCAAAATTGACCCCAATACAGTGCAAAAAAGGGCCCTCATAAAATAAAAAGAAATTAAGTGTATCTTTCTTTTAAAAATGTTTTTTTTTGTTATTTACCAAAGCTAAGGGAAAGGGCCGGTGCTCAAAAGGGATACGCTGACACAAGGATGTGTAAATTTTTCAATTTAACTTCTTCCCTGTCAATTTCTTGGGTAATTTCCCGCCCTTGTTTTGTTGGGGGTCAAGGTACACCCGTCATACCTATAACAAAGTACAATATATTGAAGACTGAAAATACATGCAAATTACAATTATGCATATGGGAAAGGGGAAAATAACTGGGAACAGAAATGAAGTCTTTTGATTAACAACCTGTACACTGTACCACCCAGCTACAGTGATTTATGTTGATTTTTAGCAAGGCCACTAAGTTAGTTTTGGTGAAATATGAGTGTTATATAATATAGCATTACATAACATTCATAAAAATATTTGTCAATGCACAAAAGAAATTTTAAAAAATCCTTTTTGAAGGACAGTTCAACTTGCTTGACTGTGCATAAAAATCAGAACATACTTGTAATTTTTAAAGCCTGTAATTGCTTTACATGATGGTAGGATTGCTGGTGTCTTTTTTTTGTCTCATAAACATGCAAGATTTCAGGTACATCTTGTTATTTCTATTTACACTCATATCACACTACACATGCATGTACAAGCGTATATATACACACCCCTCTAGGTTGTCTTTTATTTTCTTACTAGTTCTTGTTCTTGTTTATTTCCTCTCATCTCCTCTGTAAACCGTGCGTGTCATAAGAGGCAACTAAAATGCAAGGAGCAAGGGGCTAGTAGCCCCTTATCCTGTATACATTACTAAAGCTGAAAAGAGAAATTTTTGTTTTTCTTTTTGGGCCACCCTGCTTCCATGGGATATGGCCGGTTTGTTGAAAGAAAGACTTGTAATTTTTAAATTTCCCATTATCAAAACATCTGAATCTTGATATGTAAGCATGCCACAATTACTTGCAAAATGGACAGAATTATCTTACAGGTTTTTATATACAGTATAGTACTGTACACAACCCACACATAGAAAAGAACACTTTGGCAATACTTGTGTGTCCAGGTCAGATAAAAACTTTAAAAGTTTCCTCTTTGAATTGTTGGTTCTTTGTGAACTGGTCCAATCACAATAATATCACTTACATTCTTTGCAGTATTACACAGATCTATAACCATAAAGATTATCTTTGTATCTACATTACCATTATTTCTATCATAAATATTTTACCCTGGGTAGTCCAATGTCAACCTGTCACCCTGTGAAGTTGCAGAACAATTGTTGGGAGTCATGCCCACAGTACTGCATCTACCATTTGATGTATAGACTATGGCTTTCAATAATGTCATTACTACCACCACTGCCATCACTCTGGCTGCCACTAAATACTGTACCTTAAGTGGTCCATGGTGAAGCAGTTACCCTGAAAAGTTCTAGGACTATCATCAGTGTGCCAGTAGTTACAGTCAACTAACTGCATTATAAGTACACAAATAACCCACACATAGATGAGAGGGGCTTATGATGACATAACCTCAGTGTGACTCTGTAAATGGTCCAAGTCAGACCGGAATGTCGTTGTAAGCTCCTCTCTTCTATGTGTGGGTTATTTGTGTATTGTTCCAGTCACGGTATTGTACCTTTGTTTTTATTTACATTATAAGCAGTCAAATCCATTACTGTCTTTAGTTAAATTCTATATTATTATTGTTACAGGAAGAAACAGTAAATCGATCAAGGTTGTGCAGCACATGAGAAACTGGAGGCAATCAGGTTTCATCCAAGGAAGGGGAGGATATGTCCACTTCCTCAGATCACTCCTTCACTGCCATCAAGGCACCCTGCTTAATTTTTATTTGCAAAGTTCATATCTGATCAGTTCATAAAGGACTATATCTGCAAATAATTTTTAGCAACCCACACTTAAGTTACACCTCCTGCAAAAGAGTTTTGTATCAATATTTCAAGTTGGAGAAATTTAATTTTAGTTTTTGTGATTAGCAGACTGTCTACTGCAGTAAAACAAAGAGTAATTCTATTAAGTTCTGCATGACTCACGAAATCGTAATGACACGATTGCAAACAAACCATACCCCGGCCGGGATTGAACCCGCGGTCAGAGAGTCTCAAAACTCCAGACCGTCGCGTTAGCCACTAGACCAGCTAGCCACAATAAGATTCGTCCAACTAGGTATATTTCTACACCATAGGAAGGTTAGCACAGGCACCACTGTGACCACAAATGCAAGTTTTTACAGACGAATCTCCAGCTAGCATGGCCGTGACGAACTCTAGCTCAAGTCCCCTCACTGCCGTCAACATGACTCACGAAATCGTAATGACACGATTGCAAACAAACCATACCCTGGCCGGGATTGAACCCGTGGTCAGAGAGTCTCAAAACTCCAGACCGTCGCGTTAGCCACTAGACCAGCTAGCCACAATAAGATTCGTCCAACTAGGTATATTTCTACACTTGCATTTGTGGTCACAGTGGTGCCTGTGCTAACCTTCCTATGGTGTAGAAATATACCTAGTTGGATGAATCTTTTTGTGGCTAGCTGGTCTAGTGGCTAACGCGACGGTCTGGAGTTTTGAGACTCTCTGACCGTGGGTTCAATCCCGGCCGGGGTATGGTTTGTTTGCAATCGTGTCATTACGATTTCGTGAGTCATGTTGACGGCAGTGAGGGGACTTGAGCTAGAGTTCGTCACGGCCATGCTAGCTGGAGATTCGTCTGTAAAAACTTGCATTTGTGGTCACAGTGGTGCCTGTGCTAACCTTCCTATGGTGTAGAAATATACCTAGTTGGACGAATCTTATTGTGGCTAGCTGGTCTAGTGGCTAACGCGACGGTCTGGAGTTTTGAGACTCTCTGACCGCGGGTTCAATCCTGGCCGGGGTATGGTAAGTTCTGCATGTTGCACATGGTACAAATTAATGCAGTATATGAGTACATAAGGGTCCCACTTTGCAGAGTTTTGCTAATGCAGAGGTTTTCAATTATACCCATTCTTCATTTATTCAGACTTCCTACAATATGTATTTTCACCACTCACTATAAGCTAAGGATGAAAATATTTTAAGGTAAGTAATGTGTGCATGATATATGCATTTTTTTAAGCCTGGCTTTATTGCTCACTTAATATACAATAGTGTAAACATGTTATCAGGCTTGTATATGCATTTGAAAGTGAAAAAAAGGCCATGTTTCACTTTACAGCAATTTCTGCTTTACAGCCGTAGCCCAAAACCTAATCTGTTGTAAAATCATAGGGGCCCTCTTGCAAGTGAGAGGAACTGTGTTAATTATTATAGTCCCAAAATAACTTAAATCTTTCTAGGTAGGTAACATTTTCTGTTACTAACCATTAATAGTAACCACACTGCTGGGGTTTCAAGGATCACTGTTAACCAAGACAATTTTCTTTTCTGAAGACCAACATGAATTTTTTTGATAACTAGTAATTTGACAGTGAAAAGAACAAACATGCTTACAGCAGTTATATAAACCCATCTTCATCTACTGTTGACAAATACCTAAAAATAAATTGAAGTACCCCTGATAATTAATAACTTACCCATAAAACCAATAAAATATGATGCATGGTTAGGCTTCCCACCTATGAGTCCCAAGGATTGTGGCATCTTGAAACAATTCTGTAGAAAATTATAAATTATCAAAAACTATAAAGTAATAATCTTGTAGTTCCTATAACATTACATATAATAAAAGCTGTATTGAATGTACAGTTGTTTTTGTACACTAAACCTTCTGTATTCATGAGTTTGTTGTTTTGATAATCTTAATATTTACAATTTGGCAAATGATGTACACTATGCTAATTCCACATTTGTGACTTGTCAACTTTTATTATTCATGAGTTATCAAGCCCACAGTTCCCTCTTTCCCATCTATCCAACCCAAGCAAGCACCAGACCTCTTATATAAATGATACCACTCCTGACCTTTTCACATGAGCAAATTTTATGGCTGCATTTTATAGGTCATCTTTCAAGTACTGTATCACTAGATTGCCTTTTGTAATAAACTGAAGGGATTAGTTGCATAGGTCACAATAAAAGGTGAAATTACATAATTTACTTAAGCATAGGTCATGGGAAAATATGCATCTTGAACAAGAAGTCTATCATAATCCTGTCTTATATAAGGTCACTGTAGATTTTCTAAGTTTAGATTTCTTTTACAGACAGATTATGAGAGGCGATGATAAATACAATATGAGAAGTCTAATTAATGACCAAAATGCATACCTAAACATTTTTTATAACTAGGGGTTGGTACTCAGAACCTATTTGGTTAAAAATCTTAGCCCAGAAAAGCATATTTACTAGTAAATTACTAAGACATTGTGCCTTTTCAATGCCAAATAATAGCATGAGTAAATCATCATCCCATAGTTAAATACTCATTCATATTATGCATGGTAGCACAGCAGCAACACTGCAAGAAGTAGTGTGTGTTGTTGTCAAGAGTGGTGGAAGATTGGTGCATTTAATATGAAATGAAATGGAGGGTGTGATGATGCATGATCCTTCTCTCACTCACATCCTTCCTACATTCCGCCCTCCCTCCATCCATCCATTCCTGATCCTCCATTCAAATATACAGTAAGGCCCCGCTTTACGGCGTTTTGCCTTACGGCGTTCCGCTAATACGGCGATGTCAAATTATGACCAAAATTTGCTATACGGCAAGTGGTCTTTCAAATATGGCACCCCCACCAGAATTTGTTTACATTTTCCGTGACCTCATCTATTATGTCAGGAAACTTTAAAAAATTTCAAGTGTTTTAAAGTTACTGCATATTTTATATGTACTCTGATAATTATTCTTAAGTGTACCTGTACCTAAATATACTTACATACTGTGCTGGTGTGCAGGTACACATTAAAATCGCTAAGTCTCTCTCTACTCATGACGCCAATACTACGTAATAATAATCACTCTTGGGCACACTAAATGTCTTATTTCACATCAATATAGGCATTTTCATTAATCCATCTATAATATTTTCCTCAAAATTATATATGAAACCCATTACATAGCATATAAATATGATACATACACTCACAGAATAAAAACTGACGTAAATATGAGATTTGTTTACAAAGCAGCTGTGTAGGTAGTGTTGGAAGAATTACGTTTTCTCTAGTCAAACTGGGGGATACCTGTAGAAAAATATTCTTTTCCTATGCCTTTACTCTATATATATAGCAATTCATGACCCTTGTGGGTTTAGTGCTTTTTATAATTAATATAATTATTATTATTATTATTAATAATAATAATAATATTATTATTATTATTAATATTATTATCTTCATTCACTCTAAAAATGGTGTGTTGCTGTTTGTTTATTCTGAACTAACTTGTACAACTTGTACACAATGTAAGAGTATTTGTATTGTGGGGTAATTATTATTTTAATAAAAAAATATTGAGGTAACTGTTTTACAAACTCTTACAAATGGACATGAATGAACTAAAAGTAGACACACATTAATACACATTTATTTCGCTGACCAAGTGATCGTCCACTACCTGTTCAGTTTGTGTTCTTACCTTGTCTCAACTCTGTATCTCGTTCTCTCTCTCATTTACTCTTTTGTTAACCCTTAAACGGTCCAAACGTATATATACGTTCACACGCGTAGCGCCCCAAACGTATATATACGTTTTCTTTGTCATTCATTCAACATTGCCACAATAAGCCTGAGTCACCTAGACATGAGAGAATGGGTGTGTGCACTCAGTGTGTTCCATATTAAAATAATTGGGGATGCCTGGGTACCATATGCTCTTTTTTCCTTTTAAAAGAGAAGATTTTTTTTTTCCTCAAAAAATTTGGGGCGCTACGCGAGTGAACGTATATATATGTTTGGACTGTTTTAAAGGGTTAACTAGTTGGCTCTCATGCGAGGCGTTAAGGTTAGCTGTGAAAAAAGAGAAGCGAAAGCCTTTTGCTTTAAAGTGCCAATTTTAGAGGATGATGGGTCCATTCTGATTTTTTTTCAATAAAGGAAAGAAAATAAGTGTATCTGTGTGTATCTTCCCTTTTTTTGTTTTTTTAAAAGTCTATTTCTTTGCTAACTTAATATAAGTTAGTGTAAATTGTTGTCTGGCATTTTTTGCATATTTTGTGTGCTTGATAAAAATTGTGGAGCGTGGGGTAGCCGGGTGGGGGACAACATTCTTTTTTCTCTGTCGCCATCAGAAAAAACGTGTATGAATCTGCGTTTGACCCGCCACTCCCTCACTCCGCTTTGTTTACAATTTTGGGCATGATTATTCATTATTCTACCTTGTTTTGAGGGCATCTAAGGTAGTGTTAGAAATGAAAAATTTCAGTGAATAAGACATGTCGTGTTATAATGGCTCAACCACGTGGGGGGGGCCCGGAGGTGTAGCCCAGGGGGGCTCCCCTACCGGCTACACACTGATTCCTAAAAATAAATATCACTCTTTTCCCTATTTTAAAGACTACAATATTTTAAGGTAAATAATGAGGTATGTATGTGTATTTTACCCCTCTGGGGTGTTTAAATATCGTATTTAAATATGAGACGGGGGCCTGGGCTACCTACCCTGGGCTACCGCACCTGACTTCCCACAAAAAAGTACTCTCACCTCTTTCCTACATTAACCCTTGAGGGTTTTCATCGTATAGTACGTCTTAGCGTAGGGGTTTTTGACGTACAGTATCTAAAATTTTGCGGCCTCAAATTAGTGGGAGAAACTGGAGGCCTTCATATGAAAGAATGGGTCTATGTGGTCAGTGTGCACAGTCTAAAAAAAATCCTGCAGCACACAGTGCATAATGAGAAAAAAAAAACTTTGACCATTTTTTTTGAATAAATCAGCGACTTTGCAGTGTATTTTCGTATGGTATTTATTGTTGTATTCTAGTTTTCTTGGTCTCATTTTATAGAATGGAAGACATATTACAGAAATAGAGATGATTTTGACTGGTTTTACAAAGAAAGGTGCCTTGAAATTGAGCTCAAAGTAGCAGAAATGTTCGATTTTTACCAAACTTCAAAAGTAAACAAATCGTGCCAAGCGTGCAATACACGTCAACTGGTGAGTCTAATATTCTTTCACAAGTGCACCAATAATATTTATACCATTTTTTACACTAATGCAGTAGTCTGCATAACAGTAAATCTTATATTTTTTGTGAAAATAAAAATTCAAAGTGGAAAGCAAAAGAATATAAGAGGGGCCTTGAGACGTGAATAATGACTAGAGGAAATGTCATTTTAGTGCCAGGAATGTCTTTCTTGTTTATTCTGGACCCTATTCGGAAATTGGCATCTTTTGAAATTTGTGTGAAATTGGCAAAATTGCTAAATTCTGACCACTGTACTGGATAGTTGAATTTCATAAATGAGTGGTTTCTTGCACCCATTCGATAGAAAAAATGGAGTTCTAGCGAAATATTCATGTTTTTTGTCGACTAGTACAGTGAAATTGGCCGAAAATGAGCTCAAAGTGGGCAAAATCGCCGATGCGTAAACATCGCCGAGACCGCTAACTTTGCGAGAGCATAATTCCGTAAGTTTTCTATCAAATTTCAAACTTTTGGTGTCTTTATGATCGGGAAAAGATTCTCTATCTTTTCATAAGAAAAAATAATTTTTTTTTTTTTAAATTTGGCCGACCCTGAGAACGAGTTTCGGAGAGGGCCTGTCGACCCTGAAAGGGTTAAGATTGCAAATACTTTAAGATAAGTAATGAATTTACTGCAAATGTATTTTACTCCGTGTGTTTTTAATGCCTGGTTTTATTACTAACTAAATATAATTTAGTGTAAACTTGTTGTCTGGCATTTATATGCATTTATAAATGGAAAAAATGGCGTTCTGCCTTCCGGCAATGTCTGCTTTCCGGCGACAGCCTGGAACCTAACCCGCCATATAAGTGGGGCCCTACTGTATATACTAAGTCTTAGATTTAACGAACTTTGGAAATACAGGTCAAACTCCAGCGGGTCAACTGATTCAGAAACAAACAGATGAAGTTCACTGGTTACAGAATTGTCCACTACTGTTACTTTTTTTTTTTTTTAACAAGTCGGCCATCTCCCACCGAGGCAGGATGACCCAAAATGAAAGAAAATCCCCAAAAAGAAAACACTTTCATCATCATTCAACACTTTCACCTCACTCACACATAATCACTGTTTTTGCAGAGGTGCTCAGAACACAACAGTTTAGAAGCATATACATATAAAGATACACAACATATCCCTCCAAACTGCTAATATCCTGAACCTCTCCTTTAGAGTGCAGGCATTGCACTTCCCATTTCCAGGACTCAAGTCCAGCTATACAAAAATAATCAGTTTCCCTGAATCCCTTCACTAAATATTACCCTGCTCACATTCCAACAGATCGTCAGGTCCCAAATACCATTCGTCTCCATTCACTCCTATCGAACACGCTCATGCACGCCCACTGGAAGTCCAAGCCCCTCGCCCACAAAACCTCTCTTACCCCTTCCTTCCAACGTTTTCGAGGACGACCCCTACCCCGCCTTCCTTCCCCTACAGATTTATACGCTTTCCATGTCATTCTACTTTGATCCATTCTCTCTAAATGACCAAACCACTTCAACAAACCCTCTTCAGCCCTCTGACTAATACTTTTATTAACTCCACACCTCCTAATTTCCACACTGAATTTTCTGCATAATATTTACACCACACACTGCCCTTAGACAGGACATCTCCACTGCCTCCAACCGTCTCCTCGCTGTTGCATTCACAACCCAAGCTTCACACCCATATAAGAGTGTTGGTACTACTATACTTTCATACATTCCTTTCTTTGCCTCCATAGATAACGTTTTTTGTCTCCACACATACCTCAACGCACCACTCACCTTTTTTCCCTCATCAATTCTATGATTAACCTCATCCTTCATAAATCCATCCGCCGACACGTCAACTCCCAAGTATCTGAAAACATTCACTTCTTCCATACTCCTCCTCCCCAATTTAATATCCAATTTTTTTTTATCTAAATCATTTGATACCCCCATCATCTTACTCTTTTCTATGTTCACTTTCAACCCTCTACCTTTACACACACTCCCAAACTCATCCACTAACCTTTGCAATTTTTCTTTAGAATCTCCCATAAGCATAGTATCATCAGCAAAAAGTAACTGTGTCAATTCCCATTTTGTATTTAATTCCCCATAATTTAATCCCACCCCTCTCCTGAACACCCTAGCATTTACTTCTTTTACAACCCCATCTATACATGTATTAAACAACCATGGTGACATTACGTTGCTGTTACGTTGACAGAAAAACAATCTCTTCTCCATCAGCCAGATTGCCATTATTGGCCATCTACTCTCCATTAGCCTGTTAAACTGAGGGTTTACTTAGTGTAAATATTCTGATTAAACTATTCTCTTAAAGGCACATCCTGTGGCTCGGTTGGCAGTGCACTCGACTTAATTACCGAGTACAGCTTCTCCTCGCTTAACGATGGAATTCCGTTCCCAAGACCATGTTGGTGAACAAATTTGTCACTAAGCAAGGAGCATACTATAATGGTAGTGGGTTTGTGTCAACCACCTTTGATATTGTTTCAATGTTAAGAACATACAAAAGAAGGAACACTGCAGCAGGCCTACTGACCCATGTGAAGCAGGTCCATGTCACCCTTCGGCTTAGCCCAATGACCCACCTAGTCACTTCTGCTTAAGGAAGGAGCATGGCATCAGACCTAGTAGCACAAGCTAGTCAAGTCCAACTCACACCCACCCACACCAACTCATATATTTATCCAAGCTATTTTTAAAACTACACAACGTTTTAGCCTCTATAACTGTACTCAGAAGTTTGTTCCGCTCATCCACAACTACGTATTACAAAACCAGTGCTTTCTTACATCCTTCCTGAATCTGAATTTTTCCAACTTGAAACCATTGCTGCAAGTCTTGTCTTGGCTGCAAATTTCAGCACGCTATTTACATCCCCTTTATTTATTCCTGTTTACCATTAATACACCTCGATCATATCCCCCCTAATTCTATGCTTTTCTAGAGAGTGCAGATTCAAGGCCCTCAGTCTATCCTCATAGGGAAAATTTCTGATACATAAGAACAGCTTTGTCATCCTCCTCTGTACATTTTTCAGTGCATTTATGTCCATTCTGTAATACGGTGACCAGAACTGTGAAGCATAATGGATTTAAGTTGGATAAATTTAGATTTAGAAAGGACATAGGTAAGTACTGGTTTTCTAACAGAGTTGTAGATGCGTGGAACAGTCTTCCCAGTGGGGTGATAGAGGCTAGGACCTTGGGTAGCTTTAAGAAGAGACTGGACAAATATATGAGTGGGAGGGGCTGGGTTTGATTGGTGTTGGGGGGTGCGGGAGTTGTTTCTTGAGTAGCTTTAGGTAGAGATCGTTTTGATAAGGACCTGCCTTGTATGGGCCAGTAGGCCTTCTGCAGTGTTCCTACATTCTTATGTTCTTATAATCTAAATGAGGCCTAACCAAGGATATATAGAGTTGAAGAACAACCTGTTTATGTAAGCATCCTGGTCAGACAGCCCGTTGTATGTCTGAGTCGTCAATAAACGAGTACATCGCTAAATGAGGAGAGGCTGTATGTATGTGGTTTGATCTCCAGGATGGGTGGAAATGTTAGGCATGTTTCCTTACACCTGCTGCCATTGTTCACCAAGCAGTAAATAGGTACCTGGGTGTTAGTTGACTGTTTTGGGTTGCATCATGTGGGGCAGTAATACAATGGGACCCCTGTATCTGTGGTTTTGGTTATCCACGGTGTACCGTGGCCCAAAAAAACACTTAATTTTGCTTAATAATGATCACAAAGCACAAAAGTAGTGATGATGGTAGTTCTTCAAAGCTTAAGAGAAGTCTCAACTTATTGTGCATAGTTTAACAATTAAACTTTATCACAGGTACGTATGTAAATAAAAAACGACATACATGTATATAGGGTTTGCTACTATCCACGGTAGGTCTTGGAATGCATGCCCCGCAGATACAGGGGTCCATTGTATACCTTAAACAGGGCTGGGCTTTGAAATGAGCTGAGGTAGGATAACAGCTCTTAGCCTGTAAAATTGATCTGTGGTAAAAAAAAAAAAATTGGTATTACAAATACAGTAACTCACTAATAATAAAAAAAAAGAGAAAACCAGTTTTAGGGGCAGAGCTTATCTAATACAAGTCCAGTACAGCAAGAGAGGGTGTATGTATGTATATTCATCCTTTACTTCCTACCCCCAATCATCTATCCATTCATGCCTTTCTTTCTCCCTGTATTCATTTCTCTTCTCCTCCTTCCTCTCCGACCTTCTACCCTCCATCCAAAAAATGCACATAGTACAAGCACAGGAATGTTAATACCAACAGATTATGGGAATAAGACACAAAAATATGTCAGGCTGTATACTGGTTAGATAAAAAAATGAATGTTTAAACAACTTAATATATGATGAAGGTGTAGTACTGTAATTAAATTAATTTTTAAGTCTGAAAAGAAATGCAACTAATTTTATAAATGATATAAGCTACCCAAAATGTACTTACAATACTCAAGTTGTATGTTAAATAAAGAGTGAAGTACACATATGGAGCAAAGAAGGGAACATACCTTGATTATCTAGTGCCCACGTGGAATGAGTGTGTGCTGCATTTTCAACTTCACCAAATGATCACATTTTATATGGTCTTTTCATTGCCAGATAATGTTGGATGCCTAATAATTGATCCTTGGATAATCAGTGATATACTGTACTATATGTACAGAAGGGCTGTTTCTTTAAAATGTGCATCATAGACTGTGGAATATTGTATATGGTGGCATAGTAGTAGTAGTTTAGCAAAGAATTTGAAACCCTGAAGTTTTGCACTATGGAAGTAGTGTTCAATTAGCTGCATGTGTTAAAAAGCATTTGAAGAATAGCCAAAACATTTCAGATTTGACACCAATTTGCATTTCTTTTAAGAATCTTGTGATTGTGTGGGAAAACTGAATTATGATAAGTCTTTGCCAACATGGAAAAAGAAAAAGAAAAAGAAAAAGAAAAAGAAGAAGAAGAAGAGGAAGAAGAGGAAGAAGAGGAAGAAGAAGAATGAAAAATTAAAAGTGTGAGGAACTTAAAAAAAAAAAAGCACTCATGGTAAAATTTTTAAATATACAATGTCTTAGTGGCATGCAAGGGAATAAGGGGCACTAAGAAAACCAATATTTCTAAGAAAAAATATAATGTCATATATGAATAAATAGTTTTGATAGTAAAAGAGTGATGGTTACTGAGAGTACCATCAGGTATTAGTAGAAAAACTATAAACAAGCTTAGCAAAAATAGGAAATTGTTAACCACATAGATGATAAATAGAAAGAATGGACAGAGGAAACTTAGAGAAAAATGTGACCAAATTTAGTATAGCATATGCCACTTGAACCAATGGATACAGAATGCACACACAATAATTCTCAATGCTTTTTGTCAAGAAACACCTGCATATTACCTTAAGGCCTGAGAAATAGATAGGATTCATTTCAGACAGTCCTAAGCGTAGAGGAATAAATAGTAGTAGTGGCCGCCATATCCGTTCTCCTTCAATTTGACAACTACATCCTGTGCACAAAATAGGTTTTTAATAACTTATAGTTTCACTTAAATTTTTATTTAATATTTCAATTTTGCATCATTAATAACAAGAATTAACAACAATGCCTAAGATTATTTTTCAAATACCACAGTGCAACCCCGAGTTTCGTATGCCCTATCATACTTTTTTAGTTTCGAACCGTTTTTTCAGCTAAATTTGGTCCTGCATTTTGCACTGTGTCCCATGTTTCATACTGCATACCAGACCTGTTCACCTGCTCGCACCTGCCCACATCCCCCACACAGGTGTCACGAGCCAGTCTGGCTTTGTTTATGCTTGAGTGAACACTAACCTGCATGCTCATTTAAACATTTCACAATTAATTAATTGTGTTTGGTGCTTGTTTATTAAGTGCAACTGTGAAATAAGCTACCATGGTGGATGGTGGTGGTGGTGGATGGTGGTGGTGGTGGATGGTATTGGTGGATGGTGGTAGATGGTATTGGTGGTGGATGGTATTGGTGAATGGTACTGGTGGATGGTGGTGGTGGTAGTGGATGGTATTGGTGGATGGTGCCCTCTTCAGAGGTTAATGAGATCTGTGCAATGTGGAATAGGTGCAGGTATTTTCTGAAAAAATCACCCTGAGCAAGCTGAAACAAGACAACTCTACAACAAGTTCAGTGACAGAACCATGTCCCATTTTAGGGAAATTTTAAAGAGGCACCAGAGACAGAGAACTGTAGACAGTTATTTTGTGAGACAAGGGTCCAGTGCCAGTCACAGTCTTCAATAAAGGTAAGTAAATGTTATTTTAAATGTTAAATTATCTATTGTATTACTAATTTAAGTAATATATATATATGGGGAATCAAATACAAAATGGGAATTGACACAGTTGCTCTTTGCTGATGATACTGTGCTTATGGGAGATTCTAAAGAAAAATTGCAAAGGTTAGTGGACGAGTTTGGGAATGTGTGTAAAGGTAGAAAGTTGAAAGTGAACATAGAAAAGAGTAAGGTGATGAGAGTATCAAATGATTTAGATAAAGAAAAATTGGATATCAAATTGGGGAGGAGGAGTATGGAAGAAGTGAATGTTTTCAGATATTTGGGAGTTGACGCGTCAGCAGATGGATTTATGAAGGATGAGGTTAATCATAGAATTGATGAGGGAAAAAAGGTGAGTGGTGCATTGAGGTATATGTGGAGGCAAACAATGTTATCTATGGAGGCAAAGAAGGGAATGTATGAAAGTATAGTAGTACCAACACCCTTATAAGGGTGTGAAGCTTGGGTTGTAAGTGCTGCAGCAAGGAGGCAGTTAGAGGCAGTGGAGATATCCTGTCTAAGAGCAATGTGTGGTGTAAACATTATGCAGAAAATTCAGAGTGTGGAGTTAATAAAAGTATTAGTCAGAGGGCTGAAGAGGGTTTGTTGAGGTGGTTTGGTCATTTAGAGAGAATGGATCAAAGCAGAATGACATGGAGAGGGTATAAATCTGTACGGGAAGGAAGGCAGGGTAGGGGTCGTCCTCGAAAAGGTTGGAGGGAGAGGGTAAAGGAGGTGTTGTGGGCGAGGGGTTTGGACTTCCAGCAAGCGTGCTTGAGCGTGTTAGATAGGAGTGAATGGAGACAAATGGTATTTGGGACCTGACTATCTGTTAGAGTGTGAGCAGGGTAATATTTAGTGAAGGGATTCAGGGAAATCGGTTATTTTATATAACCGGACTTGAGTCCTGGAAATGGGAAGTACAATGCCTGCACTCTAAAGGAGGGGTTTGGGACATTGGCAGTTTGGAAAGATATATTGTGTATTTTTATACGTATATACTTCTAAACTGTTGTATTCTGGGCACCTCTGCAAAAACAGTAATTATGTGTGAGTGAGGTGAAAGTGTTGAATGATGAAATATTTTCTTTCTAGGGATTTTCTTTCTTTTTGGGTCACCCTGCATTGGTGGGAGATGGCCAACTTCTTGAAAAAAAAAAATATGTACAGTGGACCCCCGGTTTGCGATGCAATCGGTATCCGATAAATCTGGTATCCGATGCATTATATTGCAAAAAATTTGCCTTGGTTCCCGTTACAAAACCCGGTATGCGACACGATTCGTACGAGATGTGTCCACGTGTGGCCTGAGCTGCCCCGTTTGTGCCAGTGTTTACAAGCCAGCCAGTGTGCGCGCATCTAGTATGGAAATTAAGAAAGATTTTGAAGGGTTTGGGGCTAACTCTGAGAAGCCTATGCCAGTTGTGGAATCCATTGTGCCTACTTCAAAAATTAAGGAAATGTGTGCACAGTGGGTTGAACTGCAAACCTTTATGGATGAAAATCACCCTAACACAGCTATTGCAAGCCGTGCTGGTGACTATTACACTGACAATGTTGTGAACCACTTTAGGAAAGTCATAAAGGAACGAGAGGTACAGGCCTCTATGGACAGATATGTTGTACGACAGAAGTCCAGTGACTCTCAAGCTGGTCCTAGTGGGATTAAAAGAAGGGAAGTAACCCCGGAAAAGGACTTGCTACCTCAAGTCCTAATGGAAGGGGATTCCCCTTCTAAACAATAGGTTCAACACTCTCCCCTCCTCCCATCCCATCAATCATCACCAGATCTTCATTAAAGGTAAGTGTCAATTATTCTATTGTTATTGTTGTTACTGTAATTATTCTATTGCATTAAACTTAATATTTCATGTGGTAAAAGTTTTTTTTTCATACTTTTGGGTGTCTTGCACAGATTAATTTGATTTCCATTATTTCTAATGGGGAAAATTGATTCGTTTTCCGATAATTTTGGTTTACGATGAGCTCTCAGGAACGGATTAATATCGCGAACCGGGGGTCCACTGTATTTTGTTTTTTTTAACATGTCAGCCGTCTCCCACCGAGGCAGGGTGACCCAAAAAGAAAGAAAATCCCCAAAAATAAAATACTTTCATCATCATCAACACTTTCACCTCACTCACACATAATCACTGTTTTTGCAAAATATTTTTCTGGGTCTGGAACAGGGAACAGATTAATTGAATTTACATTAATTTTTATGGGAAATATTGCTTCGACTTTAGTACATTTCAACTTTAGTACTAGCTCCTGGAACGGAGCTAGTACGAAACTCGAGGTTCCACTATACGTATGGGGAAAAATCAGGTTACAAGGCTGCTAATTTTCAATGGTTTTAAATAATTTCTATATAATGCTTACTTCAATTTATTATTAAATAAAAAAGAAGAACATGTAGAAAGATGAAGATTACTAAAGAAAGGAAGAAACCAAGAAAATGAGTAAGAAAAACAGAAAGGATAACAGGTAGAAGAGAGAATGAATCATGTTATACACCCATTACAAACTGACATTTACTATGAACATTTGCTGTTTGTTTGTGGGCCCTTTAGCCCAACCTTCAAATTGTTTTTGGGTGGAGGATCTCTCAAATTTTTTTTACGCATTTAGAGATGTTATGCACATCAGATATATTCACTGCTAACAAACCATGAGGACAAACTGAGAAAACATAAGAGGACTGTAATCACACACCAATTAGGTTAGTGTGACTCACGAAATCGTAATGACACGATTGCAAACAAACCATACCACGGGGGGGATTTGAACCCGCGGTCAGAGAGTCTCAAAACTCCAGACCGTCGCGTTAGCCACTGGACCAGCTAGCCACAATAAGATTCGTCCAACTAGGTATATTTCTACACCATAGGAAGGTTAGCATAGGCACCACTGTGACCACAAATGCAAGTTTTTACAGACGAATCTCCAGCTAGCGTGGCCGTGACAAACTCTAGCTCAGGTCCCCTCACTGCCGTCAACATGACTCACGAAATCGTAATGACACGAATGCAAACAAACCATGTTGACGGCAGTGAGGGGACTTGAGCTAGAGTTCATCACGGCCACGCTAGCTGGAAATTCGTCTGTAAAACCTTGTATTTGTGGTCACAGTGGTGCCTATGCTAACCTACCTATGGTGTAAAAATATACCTAGTCGGACGAATCTTATTGTGGCTAGCTGGTCCAGTGGCTAACGAGACGGTCTGGATTTTTGAGACTCTCTGACCGCGGGTTCAAATCCCGCCCGTGGTATGTATTGTCTGAATTTACGAGGATTCTGAGAGGTATCACTATTATATATAGAACTGTTTTACAGATAAATGAAAACCATAATTGTATAACATTTAGGATGTAAGTAAAGAAAAATGTGCAAAACTTACTAATTTCATCCATAATGACTACATTATCCATAGCAACATTCACACTAAAGTTGTTCCACTCATCAAATGGTGTCAACTTCCTGGAAAAAAAATACTATTATTTTTATGACTCACGAAATTGTAATGACACGATTGCAAACAAACCACAGTACGGGCGGGGACTGAACTCACTAGCAGCGAGTTCAATCCCTGCCCATACCATGTTTTTTATTACTATTATTTTTATTATTATTTAATTAATTATAATTATTAATATTTTGCCTATAACATAAAACATGCACTTTATTTTATTGATACATTAGAAGCAACATTTAAAATATCTTGGTGTGACACTTAGTGTACAGTCAGCAGTCCCAAGTATCTTCAAATTACTTTCAGTAATGAAATCCCGGCAAACATACTACATCTGCACATTTTTCTTTCACTTAACCACTATGCTATTCAGCTCATATGAATAAAATACAATATTTAGGGTACAACTGAATCTCATTAATTTGAACTCTATTAGGCTAAAATTCTGATAATGCTGAGTGAACACTTCAAAATGTAGAGGCCATAAATTTCTCTCTTAGCTAATCTCACAAAATAAAAAAATTAAAAATATTTTTTCTGTAAGACAAATCCCAAGCACCATATTTTATTTGGACAAGATATCCGGGTAATGTTATGGACCCTATCATTTTTTTTTTTACTTTGCAGTACAATATTTAAATTCTGTAAAAGATTTCTGAGTGTTCCTAGGTAGTAGGTTGGTAGACAGCAACTGCCCAGGGAGGTACTACCGTCCTGCCAAGTGAGTGTAAAACGAAAGCCTGTAATTGTTTTACATGATGGTAGGATTGCTGGTGTCCTTTTTTCTGTCTCATGAACATGCAAGATTTCAGGTATGTCTTGCTACTTCTATTTACACTTAGGTCACACTACACATACATGTACAAGCATATACATACACACACCCCTCTGGGTTTTCTTCTATTTTCTTACTAGTTCTTTTTTTTTATTTCTTACTTCCATGGGAAGTCCCACCAAGTCTCCGTGGCCCGACGATGTAAGAGTTGCCATCATTACATCCATCAGTTGCCAGAAGGCCGCTTTAGCACTACATTACTTAAACTGAACAGTAACACCCTCTTCGTTATGGGCACTGACTCCCATCTGGGACTAAGTCGGCCTGCGGTTTCCGAAACCCTTATAAATAGATTACTTTGCTCATCTATCCACAGTCGACAAATAATTATAAGGCAAATGCTCCATTCAGTCACTATTCAACGCTCAGCATACTGCTAAGTCCAAGGACTCCCATACTTAAAACTTATTTACCTTCCTCAACCTTCCTTCCGACCCTACCGCTCAAACGTTCGAAGAGAATAACTCTTGAGTCATTCTGTTCGGCCAACTCGACATGCCCGAAACTCAACAACCCTTCACCAGAATCTGATCACAGTTTTTGTAATGCATTTGAATTCTAAACTCTATTCTCTGCATATATTACATTTAAACTGCCTGAGACATGCAGTGCAGGACTACGCTTCTTGTCCTTAACCTTCATCAACCCCCTTCACTACCCATATAAATCTTTTTTCAAAACTAACTCTAACATTCAATCTGATGCCCATGAAAATTCTTTTGGCTCACAACTTAGTCAACCTAGTGCACACACATCATTTTACTAATACAATTCTATGTTACTCTTTCATGAATGCCCAATCCCATCATCCACTCAAATATGTCTGAATGTTCATGCAATACTTCCTCTCTCTAAACAATGACCTTTCCACCTAAAGTGAAATTATCTGCCTCAAACATATTTCTGTATCGCACACTTTAAGCTTGTTAATTTTGATCAAGTCTAAAATTATTCACCATTCTGAACTTTCTTGAATTCCAAAAAAGTGTTACAGCAAAAAGCACTGTACAACTCCATTTGTGGTATATCTTTTCTTTTAACTCCACGCCTCTTGCAAGACCTCGCATTTACTTCTCTTACAACACCCATCTATAAATATATTAAACAACCACGGTGACATCACACATCCTTGTTCTTGTTCTTGTTTATTTCCTCTTACTTCCATGGGGAAGTGGAACAGAATTCTTCCTCCGTAAGCCCTGCGTGTTGTAAGAGGTGACTAAAATGCCGGGAGCAAGGGGCTAGTAACCCCTTCTCCTGTATATATTACTAAATGTAAAAGGAGAAACTTTCGTTTTTCCTTTTGGGCCACCCCGCCTCGGTGGGATACGGCCGGTGTGTTAAAAAAAAAAAAAAAAAAAAAAATTGAGTGTTATTGATTTACAGTGCACAAAAATTCTTAGGCAAATGCAGATAATACAGTACTTGATGATCTCAGTGAATATATTATAACAAGTGTAGATCCCAATACTTAAAGTTGAATTAGTGATTTCCATCAATGAATTTTTCCATCCCATACCATACTGAAACAGTTGGAAGAGAAAATACTGTGTCCAATGTCAGGCAACTGCAGACGATGCATGCCAATAACAACAATGGACATCTTAACAGAAATATAGTTTCTCCATGCTTATAGGTTGAATTATATATGAAATGGTAATTACTCTTATTACTGCATATTTAAATTTATAAAATAACCTGTAGCTAAGCAGTAGGAAGAGGAAATACGGTTTCTATTGATACCTTAACCTAGGTTTCATCACAGCAATAATACAATACAATTCTTTATTTCAAGATTACTGCATACACACTAATCTGAAGACCCATTGAATGCATAGCATTTTGGGTAAAACTTAGTCAAGCCTTACGATCTACAAACGTAATTTCACATTAGAGTAATAACACATTCCTGTTATTTCTACAATGAAATGTGTCCCAATTATTCTATAACTCTGTTTGTGGTGAATGATAGGAAATACATGAGAAAAATACCTGTGTTCTCTAAGACAATGACCTAGCCCGAGGCATGAAAGGGAAATATCCTGCCACAGGACAAAGCAGTATTTCACACGCAACTCTAAGCCTTGGGATTAAAATTTAGATCAAGTCATAGATAATGTGAGTTGTGGTTGTGTGACTTATGAAAATCTATTGTAAATAAAAAAAATTTTGAAACATAGCTCAGAAACACATCGCCTATAACACAGGTCTCTATGGTAAAACAGGTTCCGATGGATTCGTGGATTCATGGCATACAATACAGAAGTTACATTGAATACCGATGACGTATCACTCAATGAAGGTTATATTTCCGTGGTAGTAAGCAATTTTGCCATTCAGGAAAGCGAATCCACGTCGTTCATAAGTGAGGATGATCATAAGATGGATGAGTTTACTTCAGGAACTTACTATACTGAACTACAGAAAATTAAAAAAAAAAATTTAAACATAGCATTGGTTTGTCTAAATGATCTGCCAGTGTTGACCTTATGAAATGAGGAATACTTACCCAGCTTCAGAATTTTTTAGTGGTAGGAGTCACTCACACCCAGAGCCAAAGCTATGTCCAGGATTTATGACTTGGATGTGGTTTCCCTCCAACCCCTGTCCTACCTAATTAACAATTTCTTTTTTTCTTTGATATACAAACTAGTCTGACTACTTTTGAATCTGTCATCCTCTCAGCAGCCCTTCAATGCTTCATAGATCTCAATCAAATATTTTAACTATTGCAAGTGATATGAAGAAAATATCATAATTTTAATAACTACCAACCAAAATATTTGGAAAGTCACCTACATATACAGACTCATTGCAAAATAGTCCCAGTTTTATTGACCAGCTATATCTAATTTTGCCATTACAAAGAAGTTAATTGCATACATTTAGTAAAGCACATACTGCATCTAGCAAATACCTTGATGCATTAATAACACGTGCAAACATTATGTGCTACCTATATGTCAAGGTTCATTATTCTTAAGAATTGTGGCTTTTTTATTTTCCTTCTGAGAATAACACCATGACAGTACATGTCTTAATATACATTTAACCCTTAAAATGTGCATGGGTGGGTAGAACATTAAAAGTGAATGTAGTTACATAAGATAACTGAAAAACAATGCTTTGTTGCCTTTGTATTTTGTTGCAGTGTGCATTTTTATCTAATCTAGCAAAGCCTCAAAAAAATGTACAGTATTACATTAAGCATAAAATATTAATTAGCAGCTTTTCTCCATAAGTACTGAAATACATGCACTACACAGTATGTGGTTATCATTTTAAACAGATTTAACTGTGAAGAAAATTGAATATAATAACGACAGCATCTGCCAATGACAAAATTACCAGACATAAATCTGATAGGCAATAAACCTTCTCATAACACAACCCAGCAAAGCTCAATGTGTGGATTGAGAAAACAAGGTTGTGTGTCAGGTTTAGTGCTCAGATAATAAACCAGGAAGCCTCGGCTAACGCTAAAAAACTCGCCCAACGCGATTCGTTCAAGACTCGTCCACGTGTGGCCTGAGCGTGCCTCAGTTGTCCCGTGGGTGCCAGTGTTTACAAGCCAGCCAGTGTGGTCGCATCCACGCATACAATCGGAACATTTCATATTATCACAGCGTTTTTAGTGATTGTACCTGCAAAATATGTCACCATGGGCCCCAAGAAAGCTTCTAGTGCCAACCCTGTGATAAAAAGGGTGAGAATTAGTATGGAAATTAAGAAAGATTTTGAAGGGTTTGGGGCTAACCCTGAGATGCCTATGCCAGTTGTGGAATCCAATGTGCCTACTTCAAAGATTAAGGAAATGTGTGCAAAGTGGGTTGAACTGCAAACCTTTATGGATGAAAATCACCCTAACACAGCTATTGCAAGCCATGCTGGTGACTATTACAATGACAATGTTGTGGCCCATTTTATGCAAATCTTAAAGGAATGGGAGGTACAGACCTCTATAGACAGATTCGTTGCACGACAGAGGTCCAGTGACTGAAGCTGGTCCTAGTGGCATTAAAAGAAGAAGGGAAGTAACCCCGGAAAAGGACTTGATACCTCAAGTCCTAATGGAAGGGGATTCCCCTTCTAAACATTAACAACTTCCACACACTCCCCTCCTCCCATCCCATCAATCATCACCAGATCTTCAATAAAGGTAAGTGTCAGTTTGTGTGTATTAAAATTAATATTTCATGCTGTAAAATTTTTTTTTTTCATACTTTGGGGTGTCTTGCACGGATTAATTTGATTTCCATTATTTCTTATGGAGAAAATTAATTCAGCTAACGATAATTTCAGCTAACGATGAGCTTTCAGGAACGGATTAATATCGTTAGCTGAGGGTCCACTGTACAGTAATTTGTAAATACCACCACCAGTAATATTTTAACTTATCTAAAATACTATTAACATATAGAGAAAGAGTTCTGACCCGAATTGATAGGAAGCACCACAGTCTACAGTCCTTATTTTAAGATAAGAAGAAACAAAGCTAACTTCTAAAATTACTCTTTTTCTCAGTTAAAAAACAGACAATAAGATGAGTGTTACACACCCACCCACCACCCTATCAATCTCTGTCCTTCACACTCCAGGAATTATCATTAAAAGCATCTGCATCTCCTCTCCTCAGGTTACATACGAGATTAATGATGCTGAATATGTGGTGGCAAGTTTCCAAATTATGTTAGAAATGTCCTCTAAGATGACCCTTGTTCTATGTTTAGGAAAATGCTCTGCAAAATACTTACAGCATACTACATTGACCAGAGTTAAATAAAAATTTATTTTAGACTATACATGTATATGTAAAATATTTATATTATTTTCCTATGAAGTGTTCTATTATACAAATTACATATGACATCTCTTAATAGTGTTGAATGCTCACCTCATAACCTGAGCTACTGTATTTGGGCCATACCACTCTCCTATTGGTTTGCCCTCGTCCACTCCAAGTTGTGATATGATGTGAAGTGAAAAGGTGGCACACTTATGATCTTCAAACATACTCATAATCCTTAGGTATGTGTCACTGGATTCAGCAGGAGTCCAAATCCAGTCTCTACCTGTTAAATCAAATGATCATTGGGACACTGAATCACCCAAATGGAAATGTATGTTGATATACCCTCTACTGCATTCTTAGCTTAACTATTTGGCATTATATATATATATATAAAATATATATATATATATATATATATATATATATATATATATATATATATATATATATATATAATATATATATATATATATATTATATTATATATATATATATATATAATATATATTTTGTATGTATATATTTTATGTATATATATGTATGTATATATATGTATGTATATATATGTATGTATGTATATAATAGTATGTATGTATGTATGTATGTATGTGTGTGTGTGTGTGTATAAATATAATATATATATATATATATAATATTTTTATATATATATATATATATATATAATTATATATATATATATATATATATATATATATATAAATATATATATATATATATATATAAATATATATATATAGATATATATATATATATATATATATATATATATATATAATATATATATATATATATATATATATATATATATATATATTATATAGGTAGTAGGTTGTAGACAGCAACCCCCCAGGGAGGTACTACCAGTCCTGCCAAGTGAGTGTAAACGAAGCCTGTGATTGTTTACATGATGGTAGGATTGCTGATGTCTTTTGTCTGTCTCATAAATATGCAAATTACAGGCATGTCTTGCTACTTCTACTTACACTTAGGCCACACTACACATACATGTACACATTTATTTATACACACTCTCTGAGTTTTCTTTGATTTTATCTTAATAGTTCTTGGTCTTTTAATTTTCCTTTTATATCCATGGGAAGTGGAAAAAGAATCTTTCCCCCGTAAGCCATGCGTGTTGTAAAAGTCAACTAAAATGCCGGAACAATGGGCTAGAAAACCCTTTTCCTGTAAAAGATTACTAAAAAGAATAAGAAGAAGAAAATTGTCAAAGTGGGAAGTCTGAATGTGCGTGGATGCTGTGCAGATGATAAGAAAGAGATGATTGTGGATGTTTGAATGAGAAAAAGCTGGATGTCCTGGCTTTAAGTGAAAAAAAGCTGGAGGGGGGGGGAGAGTTTCAGTGGAGAGGAATAAATGGGATTAGGTCAGGGGTTTTAAATAGAGTTAGAGCTAAAGAAGGAGTAGAAATAATGTTGAAGGATAAGCTATGGAGGAAAAGAGGGACTATAAATGTTTTAAATTTCAAGGATTATGTGGAGTAAAATAAAGATTGGATGTGAAAAGTGGGTTATAATAAGCGTGTATGCACCTGGAGAAGAGAGAATTTGTAGAGGGAGAGAGAGTTTTTGGGGAAATGTTGAGTGAATGCATGGGGAGTTTTGAATCAAGTGTGAGAGTAATGGTGGTTGGGATTTCAATGCTAAAGTGGGAAAAAATAAGTAGGGAAAGGAGTAGTAGGTAAATTTGGGGTGCCAGGGGTAAATGTAAATGGGGAGCCTTTAATTGAGCTATGTGTAGAAAAAATTTGGTAATAAGTATAATATTTTATGAAAAAAGGGTTTAAATAATATAAAAGGTATGATGTAGCACGTAATGAAAGTAGTTTATTAGATTAGTATTGGTGGATAAAAGGTTGATGGGTAGGCTCCAGGATGTACATGTTTATTGAGGGGCAACTGATATATCGGATCATTATTTAGTTGTAGCTACAGTTAGAGTAAGAGGTAGATGGGAAAAGAGGGAAAGGGGGGCAACAACAAGTAAGAGGGAGGTGAAAGTGTATAAACTAAGGGAGGAGGAAGTTCGGGGGGAGATATAAGCGACTATTGGCAGAAAGGGGCTAGTGCAAAGATGAGTAGTGGGGGGGTTGAAGAGGGGTTTGGGAAAAAGTTTTTAAAAAGCAGTATTAGAATGTGGGGCAGAAGTTTGTGGTTATAGAGGGTGGGGGCAGGAGGAAAGGGAGTGATTGGTGGAAAAGATGAAGTAAAGGGTGTGATAAAAGAGAAAAAGGTAGTTATGAGAGGTTTTTACAAAGGGAGAAGTGTTATAAGAAGAGCAGAGTATTGGAGAGTAAAAGAAAGGTAGGGGAAGTGGTGAAAAAGAGGGCAAAAGAGAGAGCAGATGATAGAGTGGGAGGAGGCACTGTCAAGAAATTTTAATGAAAATAAGAAAAAAATTTTGGGAGTGAGTTTAACAAGTTAAGAAGCCTAGGGAAAATATGGATTTTGTCAGTTAAAAACAGAGTAGGGGAGTTTAGTAGATGGGGAGATGGAGGTTTTGGGTAGATGGCGAGAATATTTTGAGGAAACTTTTAAATGTTAAGGAAGAAACAGAGGCAGTAATTTCATGCACTGGTCAGGGAGGTATACCATCTTTTGAGTGAAGAAGAACAGAATGTAAGTGGGGGAGGTACGTGAGGCATTAGTAAAATGAAAGGGGGTAAAGCAGCTGGAACTGATGGAAAACATGACGAAATGTTAAAAGCAGGGGGGGATATAGTGTTGGAAATGGTTGGTACTTTGTTTAATAAATGTATGAAAGAGGGGAAGGTACCTAGGGATTGGCAGGGGAGCATGTATAGTCCCTTTATATAAAGGGAAAGGGGACAAAAGAGACTGTAAAAATTATAGAGGAATAAGCTTACTGAGTATACCAGGAAAAGTGTACGGTAGGGTTATAATTGAAAGAATTAGAGGTAAGACAGAATGTAGGATTGCGGATGAGCAAGGAGGTTTTAGAGTGGGTAGGGATGTTGAGATCAGGTTTGTTTACATTGAAGCATATATGTGAACAGTATTTAGATAAAGATAGGGAAGTTTTTATTGCATTTATGGATTTAGAACAGGGATATGATAGAGTGGATAGAGGAGCAATGTGGGAGATGTTGCAAGATATGGAATAGGTGGTAAGTTATTAAATGCTGTAAAGAGTTTTATGAGGATAGTGAGGCTCAGGTTAGGGTGTGTAGAAGAGAGGGAGACTACTTCCCGGTTAAAAGTAGGTCTTAGACAGGGATGTGTAATGTCACCCTGGTTGTTTAATATATTTATAGATGGGGTTGTAAAGGAAGTAAATGCTAGGGGGTTTGGGAGAGGGGTGGGATTAAATTATGGGGAATCAATTCAAAATGGGAATTGACACAGTTACTTTTTGCTGATGATACTGTGCTTATGGGAGATTCTAAAGAAAAATTGCAAAGGTTAGTGGATGAGTTTGGGAATGTGTTGTAAAGGTAGAAAGTTGAAAGTGAACATAGAAAAGAGTAAGGTGATGAGGGTGTCAAATGATTTAGATAAAGAAAAATTGGATATCAAAATTGGGGAGGAGGGAGTATGGAAGAAGTGAATGTTTTCAGATACTTGGGAGTTGACGTTTCGGCGGATGGATTTATGAGGATGAGGTTAATCAAAGAATTGATGAGGGAAAAAGGTGAGTGGTGCGTTGAGGTATTTTGTGGAGTCAAAAAACGTTATCTATGGAGGCAAAGAAGGGAATGTATGAAAGTATAGTAGTACCAACACTCTTATATGGGTGTGGAAGCTTGGGTGGTAAATGCAGCAGCGAGGAGACGGTTGGAGGCAGTGGAGATGTCCTGTTTAAGGGCATGTGTGGTGTAAATATTATGCAGAAAATTCGGAGTGTGGAAATTAGGAGAAGGTGTGGAGTTAATAAAAGTATTAGTCAGAGGGCAGAAGAGGGGTTGTTGAGGTGGTTTGGTCATTTAGAGAGAATGGATCAAAGTAGAATGACATGGAAAGCATATAAATCTATAGGGGAAGGAAGGCGGGGTAGGGGTCGTCCTCGAAAGGGTTGGAGAGAGGGGGTAAAGGAGGTTTTGTGGGTAAGGGGCTTGGACTTCCAGCAAGCGTGCGTGAGCGTGTTAGATAGGAGTGAATGGAGACGAATGGTACTTGGGACCTGACGATCTGTTGGAGTGTGAGCAGGGTAATATTTAGTGAAGGGATTCAGGGAAACCGGTTATTTTCATATAGTCGGACTTGAGTCCTGGAAATGGGAAGTACAATGCCTGCACTTTAAAGGAGGGGTTTGGGATATTGGCAGTTTGGAGGGATATGTTGTGTATCTTTATGTGTGTATGCTTCTAGAATGTTGTATTCTGAGCACCTCTGCAAAAACAGTGATAATGTGCGAGTGTGGTGAAAGTGTTGAATGATGATGAAAGTATTTTCTTTTTGGGGATTTTCTTTCTTTTTTTGGGTCACCCTGCCTCGGTGGGAGACGGCCGACTTGTTGAAAAAAAAAAAAAAAAAAAATATATATATATATATATATATATATATATATAATATATATATATATATATATATATATATATATATATATATATATATATATATATATATATATATATCCTAGTTAGTAGGTTGGTAAACAGCAACCGCCCAGGGAGGTACTACCGTCCTGCCAAGTGAGTGTACAACAAAAACCTGTAATTGTTTTACATGATGGTAGGATTGCTGGGGTCTTTTGTCTGTCTCATAAACATGCAATTTCAGGTATGTCTTGCTACTTCTACTTGCACTTAGGTCACACTACACATACATGTACAAGCATATATATACACACCCCTCTGGGTATTCTTCTATTTTCTTTCTCGTTCTTGTTCCTTTTTATTTCCTCTTATCTCCATGGGGAAGTGGAACAGAATTCTTCCTCCGTAAGCTATGCGTGTTGTAAGAGGCGACAAAAATGCTGGGAGCAAGGGGCTAGTAACCCCTTCTCCTGTATATATTACTAAATGTAAAAGGAGAAACTTTCCTTTTTCCTTTTGGGCCACCCCACCTTGGTGGGATACGGCCGGTGTGTTGAAAGAAAGATTGGCAATGGGAGCCTGAGCACACTGCTGTGAAGCACAGATGCTAGGTGACAAGTATACCTGACCAGATGCATGTGTAAGTATTTTGTGTTTCCAGACACTGTTTTAGAGCTAACAAGCTTGGGATAATTTTTAAAATATACAAGACAGTTCGTTACTTAACAGAATTCTTCCTCCGTAAGCCATGCGTGTCGTAAGAGGTGACTAAAATGCCAGAATCAAGTGGCTTGTAACCCATTCTCCTATATATTTTACTAAATTTAAAAGGAGAAATTTTCCTTTTTCCTTATGGGCCACCCTGCCTCTGAGGGATATGGCTGGTTTGCTGAAAGCAGGAAAGTTCTTTATTTTACTGCGAGATGGCCACCAAAGTAAATAAAAAAAAAAGTACAGTAACTATTAGTAATGTGTGATATATGTGATTACTTCCCCACTGTTTGCAAGGATCTGATATATACTTGTTGATCTAGGATACCTTTAAATATATTTTTTGTTACAATATTCTAATTATTATTTTACACTTTAAATTTGGCAGGCTTAAATCTCCTGTGAGGATAATAGTTGGTGTAGGATTTTCTACTTTAAATTCATAGTAATTTTAAATCATTTGAAGATTTCAACAGCAAAGTGAATTTTATATATACAGGCCTACTTTTCTCTGAGATTTGGTTACTGTATCTCTATACACATGATCAAGCACTGAACTACTTAGGGAGTAATACAGGATTGCACATCTATGCATATTATATTTGGTATCCATATATCACTGTCCAAATACATCCCTGGGATGAACTTTTAACTAAATAAAAAATACTATCTTTATAAACATCTCAGACTAAACGAATGCAGATAAAATGCTGGTTGAGTAGTCAACATTCTAGTATAGTACATTATATGTGTACTTAAAAATGTTTAAGAACAGTACAGCACTGCACATAAAAAGAAAATGTGAAAATAATTACAGTAATATGAATTTAGTTTTTCAAGCATGATAATTTGCTGATATAATACACAAATTTTAAGGTTAAAAATAAACTAAAAATAGTCAACATACCCAAGTGTCTTCGGAGGAGAGCTTCAGCTAACACCATCTGTCCACAGCGTAACATACAACCCCAACCTCTGTCAGACGTGAAAGTGGTATCACTAATCTGAGCAAAATTTCTTCGATACGTGAGCCATATCCTGGACTGTACATCATTCCGAAGTGGTTCTAGTTCTGAACAAAGAGGAAATAAAGAAACAAAGTGCATAAATAACATTAATTAAAGCCAAATGTTAGAATAATATATTTAATTACATTATTATTTCAATATATATAAAAGAAATGGTACATTTAATATCTCTGGATTCATTTCATGTGTGTCCTGTCAACTACACCTTAAAGTTGCAAGCATTACCATCTATTCTCGCTGTCTTGTGAAAATTATCAGTCTTACCTTTTTCCCTTCTGATAAGACAACTGACCTGTTTGAGTTGAATATTTTTTTCCCAGTATCCATACTGGCTCTTCTGACTTAGGAAAGTCTTCTGGTTCACTCAGTGCCCCTTCATAAGTCATACAAGCTGCAAATATATTATGTAGAAATAAAAGTTAATGCTATAGTATGACACACTGTACAATAACACCAGAACCATATCACAAGAAAAAGACATCAATATTAAGTGGAAAAATGTAAATTTATTTTACTGGAAGTTGACTAATTACACAAATTACTAACCTTCTAAACAATTAACACAATACCAAAACTATAAAAAATCTGCTCATAACCTAGTCAAAAAACTGGGAAAAATAGTCATGAAAAATTGCTAAACAGGATAAAAATGATGGTAGAGAAGTGAACAGATGACCTAACACTAATCCATTTATTCACTCCAGATGACATATTATGTACTGGCTATTTATTGAAATCACTACTGTATACACATGAAGTTCCCAAGAATTAGTTATACAGCAAATAAAAAATTGAGAGAACAATCATGCCCATCAATAGTCAGCAACCTACATTACACACTTGACATTTTACAAAGCAGGATACATTCTTTACACAACACCTTCACAGAACACAAATACCATTTTCTATAGCTCTAACATACCTATCATCTTAAAGAATTTATGAAGTCGCCCGATACTATTATAAAGGAAAGAATCGAGAGCTTGTAAGATCCAAAGCAGGTGTCTGCGCCACCAATATGGAATTCTATGGATCCATCTTCCAATCATGGTCTATAAAGAAAAATACACGAGTTCAACCGAAAACTTTTAACTTGTGCATCATTTGCATTTCTTTAACAAAATCCTTAGAATACTGATCACCCATATAATATGAAAGTGGCATTAATAAAACATAATTAAACAGCATCTAGATGTTACACTGAAGATCAGAGAAATTGTGTAGAGATTTTAAGCTAAGATGTGCAACTGTTATGATCAATGTTGTTGATAAAATGAGATCTTATAATTCATTTGCAATGTCGTAGTTAAATACCTTTCAAAGTTAAACTTTATATAGGACTGAGTACCTGTAATGGCTTAGGAAGAATAAAATGCCACTTTGTATTCTAGACTTGAATAAAAAAAATGCAGCTTTATCATGAAGTCCAAAATATTTATATTACTGTTTTATATATCATAGATAAATGGAGCACAGTAACCAGTAATTTCATGAGATTTTTCAAATTAAAAACTTGCTTCAGTTTTCTTATACAACATGCAAAGTGGTTTAACAAACTTGAATGGATTGTATGATGTGGCATTCATGTCACTGGGCTTGAGTAATATTTTGCAATATTATTTTCATCTACTATACATAGTTTTAAGAAATTTACACCATTATTTTCCTCCACCAACTTTAAATTATAACATGTTAGTATGCTAGTTCCTTGTTTTCACTTTTAATCTTTAAATCTACATCACCACTTTAAAATTCTTTAAATCATAAATGCTTAAGGACTGGTTAAAGAGTGAATATAGTGCTATCACCATAGTTATGTAGTATAGAAGAATAAAAAATCGTAATACTTTAACTAACTCACAATTAGAAGAGGAAACGTTTGACAATATTTTTTTTCAGTCTATTTCAGTAACAGATAACTCAAGCTTCATTTGTATTAAGTAGAGTAACTGCTAAAGCTTTTGAAGTGGGTTACCTCTTGTAAATGTTGATGTCACTGTGTTAAGATTTTCTATACACTGCATATACAGTAAATGATACACAGTAATTTTAATCATTACCTTCACATTTGCTATTACTGCAAATACATTATTTATTATTAACAGATTATCTCAACTTGAAAATTAACTACCAGTACTTTCTATTTCAGTCATTATATTTGCAGAAAACTCATCCATGGTTTCTAAATCATAATAATTTCCCAGATCACTGTCAGAAACTCGTTTAAACACCTTGATCAACCACTGACTGCCCTCTTTACTGACACAGCTAAGTCTTTAACTACCAACCACAAAAGATGAATGTCATCTCTTACAAATAAATACTGTATTTTGCGACACATAAAATGCACTGGCATGTAGGATGTACGTACCCTAAATTTAGCAAGAAATTTTCTAGAGCCAGTGAATAGCTGGGTAATTCATAGATCCCAAGCGTGACCCCAAGCCTGACCTTCACTGTGCTGGATGCAGGGTGATTCTGAGGGGTCAGATTTTGAAAAAAAGTTTGTTTTATATGCTGCAAAATATGGTAACTTTTATTGTAAAATCCATACAGGCAGTCAAAATTTACCTTGGAACACTTAAAAGAGTACTTAATGATCCAGCTATTCACCCTAATAACCCTGGATAGCCACTCATTATCTACCCTCTTTCCTGACACAATACCCATACCACAAGTGCACTACCCCTTTCTTTAAATATATCAGCTGCCTTCTTGAACCTTTACACTGCAGAGGTTTGGGAACCAGGGTAAATTACTCTAAATTGGCTAAAAATGAAAACCTTGGGGGTATTGAAGGCTCTTTAAATATATAAATAAAACTGCACATTATTATTTGGGAGACACGGACAAAATAGTTTCCGATTTCCATGGTTACTTCAGGAGGTTCCACAACACTAACACCAGCTACTCACGAAACGGGAGCTGGGTCTGGAGTGTACTTGCCACACAACTTCCGTTCCTTCTTCCAAACTGCACACATAGTGGAAGTCGAGGTAACGGTAGACACGTAGTCTTACCAACAAGTGTGTTTAGTGTCGCGTATGATGTGGCAAGTGACTGCCCTTGCCTGCTTAAAATCCAAATGATGATCTGAGGTCCAATTATATCGATAACTGCCCCATGCAGCAAGTTTCCAACACACTACACGGGCACACACAGGAGACCACCAAGGCACTCATGTCTCTGAGAATGCCTGCCGGAGGTTTGAGGAATAAAACGTGACATTGCAGTCAAAACTAAGTTCGAAAACTGGTGCACCAGTTCATCAACATAGGACGAAGGGTCCCCACAAAAAGCGGTAAGATGAAAGTAAGTCCCAATTTGCTCACCCAAAATGCCAACGGGGGCTACAAGGCAGTCAGGAATATGCAGAAGTGTGAAGAACAGGAAAGTGATCACTGTCGTGCAAATCCGGGAGAACAGATCAAGCATAATCAAGTGCAATTGATGAGGAGCAGACAGAAAGATCAATGCAAGAGAGAGACTGAGTGTGAGAGTCAAAATGGGTGGGAGCACCCATATTTAAAGCATGAAGAGGATGAGAAGTGAGAAGAGTCTCCAGCTAATCACCAAGAGTGCCACAGTGGGACCTTCCCCAATGATGGTGAGCATTAAAATCACCTGACAACAAGATGGGCGGGAGCAGAGAAGAGATCAAAAACACAATATCCAAGATACAGAATACATGGGAAGGGGAGAGATATAGAGAGCAAACTGTATACTATCTGTGTAAATAAATACGGGCTGCAGTATAATGCAGCAGAAAATGAACAAAGAAATGTTGATACGGTATACCAACGCACACAAGAAGTGCACTCTCATTAAATGATTCATCAGGAAAGGGATCAGAAGAATGCAACAGCACATAGCCCAAAACAGGATGAATAACAGCTGAACGAATTTTAAGCTCTTGTAACCCGATACAAACTGGGGAAAATTGGGAGAGCAATACCTGGAACTCTCCCTGATTACCCCTGAAGCCATGAATATCCCATTGTAAATAAGTCATTATTTACTAAGACAGGTATGCCAACAATAAGAAGCAATTAGGATTAGTGGAGGCAACAGACAGCATGTAAACAAGGAGGAATCGGAATGATGTGAAGGAAAAGATTGCTGCGAGGGTCGTGAGAAATAAGGAGGAGTAGGAGGAGGTGTGCCAGTGTCCATTAAGAGTTTTGTCTCCACAATATAGTTGGAGATAGTGTCAAGTGTCTCAGTGGATAAGCAAGATGCCAATACCATGACTTCTGAGACAGGTGAGGTAGTGCAAGTAGAGATCAAGGATACTATGGAGGAACCAAAGAGGTCTGAGGGGGAAGGGGCGTATGAACCTGGAGATATGCCCCGGCGGGGACAGAAGAGTCCTGCAGTGGAACAGGAGAGGTAAGAGACTGGAAGGTAACTAGGGAAGAGTCTGGGGAGGAACAGGAGAAGAAGGGACCACATGAGGGGGTAAGAACTAGGCACTGAGGCCGAAAAGGAAAACTGTTGGGAAATTGTATGCATCGGAGGAATGCGAAGAGACTTGGGCTTATGAGACAGGTTCAACTTCGCAGGTGATAGGCGCAAAGAAGATGCAGGCATGCGAGGCCATGCAGACTGAGAAACTAGCAGGCGAGAAGAAGAAGCAGAGGTAGGAATAGGTAAGGAGGTGGGGGTTTCAGAGGGTAAAACCGTAAAAGAATTAAGAGACGGGGGTGACCCTGGAAGACATGACACTGGAGGAGCTGTAAGGCAGGAAGGACGCCAAGGTTGGAGGTCTCCTAGCTACTCGAGAATAAGGGACACGAGGAAGATTCCCTTGAAGGGGGAGCCGAGAGCATAAGTAAGGCCTTCGCATAAGTAAGGCCTTCGCTCTCCTTAAGACAATGGATTTGTCGTTCGTTAAGATAGACCTGACATCGGTGGGAAAAAGAAGGATGAGGTTCATTGCAATTGAGACAAGTGGGGGGTAAGACTACAAAATGTATTGGCATGCTCTGTGGCACTGCAGATCAGGCACTCCGCCATAGATCTGCAGTATTTAGTGGGGTGTCTGAAGAGCCAGCAATTTCAACACTGTTGGGGAGTAAGGACCACTTTACGGACCTCTAGGTGATGGCCCATGATATAAAAGAAGGATGGGAGCTCACGGCAGTCAAAGGTTAAGCGGACGATTTTACTGGGAAAGTGCTTCCACCTGCGAGCAGGCAAGACATATATATCCACTTTGAGAATTGGAAGCTCCTGAAGGGCTAATTGCTCCAAAATATCATCAATGCAAGACAGAAAATCACTTAGTACAATGGTAAGAAGTAAAACTACCGTACCACTGCAAGAATTAAGAGTACATAGTGTGCTTGTGAACTGTGATTGGAACGTTATCAATGGAAGTAAGATGGGAAAGATCACGAGCTTGTTCTGCATTCTGAACTTTAACGATGCGTGCACCGCTTCAAAGAGCGTTAGAGAATATATTTTGGCCAATGTGTCGTAAAATATCTTTACCAACACTATGGTCAGAAAGATTATCAGCTGGAGATGTTGGGTGTAGGGAAAACAATTTAGTTCACTGTGTACTTGTAAACAAGGTGCATAAAGTGGGTGTCGCGTAGGTCATTTTTGAAGAACTGTCATCAGCAAATGATCTGGAACGCTTAGGCATAGTACCGTGGGTAGCCCAACCTGAGGTAGGTATGAGATTCAAAAACCATCGCACCCTATTCGAGGAAGCCGGATGCAAAGTTAAAGGCGTGCAAGAGATAGAGGCACTAGCAGAAAAGGGCAGAGCCTCAGCATCTGGAGCAGGTGACAAAGCACCAGAAGCAGAAAGTACAGGGGTATGGGAAGAATCTGGAGAATGGTCCGATAACAAAGCCGGGTCAGAACAGGATGCGGTAACAGAAAGGGGCCTGGAAGAATGAGGGTTATCACGGAATGAAGTCTCCATGATAGTGGTACCTCTTTCTTATTATTTTAATGAAAAAAATAGAGAAGGAAAGAAAAAAAAAAAGAGGGACAGCAGAGGGGCAGTCACTTTAAGGCCTGAAAGGGCTGTAAGTTCTCCCTCTCGTCTGAGAGGACCTTGAGACCGCAAGCAGTGCAGATGCAGTGTGGAACCCATGCCATACCCTATCCTTCACGCCAGTAAACCAGCATTCTGGGATAGCAACCTCACATTTACCGGGCCACCTCAGCGGACAAAAGAGAGGACGGTGGGAAACCTGCCACAAAGCATACCTCCTTCAGCTGCCACCTCCCAGAAGTGACAGGCAGCCTCCGGAGATGCACCCGTCACCTGCAGAACACCTCACCCCCTTCTCAGAAATCCAGGAAGGGAGCAGGGTGCCTCCAGATAATCCAGATTCCATGGCAAACACCACACCACCCGAGGAACCTCACGGAGCAGGAAAAACCCCAGCATAGTTCCCCTACCTGGAAACTGTAATGCCAGAGGGGAGGGCCCCCAGAAGCTACAAGTGGGACGGGGAAAAGGGAGGGTTGGGAGCCGGGAGGAAAGGGAAAAAAAGGTGGGGATGGGGAGGATGGGATAAGGAAGGGAAGACTGGGGGGTAATTAGGTACAGTCTGAGGAAGGAGACCAAAGGGTCTAATTCCTTAGACCAAGTGCCTCTTTGCCACATCAAGGAGCTCCCCCCCCTTGAAGAGGCCACAAGGGTCATACAGCACTGTCATCTTGTCCACAAAATCTTCTGTTCTTCCACATAAAAGCAAGGTATCCACACCCAGGCAAAAATAGTTATTTCTTCCTGTGCAAATTGTTATTTTGGGAGTTATTAGTCACACAAATATTTCTGAGAGGAAAAATACTTGCCCATCAGGGATTAACACAAATATTTAGGTACAGTGTGCAAATAATGTGCTAAATTCAACAACGACCTAGTATGGGTAAAGTTAGGTTACATGAGGCTTTGTAAAGTTAGATTATACTGCTTGTGCTCCATAAAAATGACCTAGTTAGTTTTTGACCTGTCAATATTAGTTTGTAGTTCTTTAACCACATACATTACTGGATGACATGTCTAAATACTAGCTGCTGATTAATGGGAGGCGTATTTCAGCCACAAAAGTATTTAACCAAGACAGAAGTCACAGCAATATGTTGAAACTGAGAAAATTTAGATTTCAAAAGGATATAGTGAAGTACTAGTTTGGCCTAATGCAGTGCTCCTTCATTATCATTTATATAACTAAAATCTCCCAAAATAACAAATTGCCCAAGATATAAATATTTCTTGTCTGGGTTTGGATACTTAGCTTTAATGTTAAAAACGAATAAATGGCTAAATTCAACCGAGCAGCTATATTCAATATTGACCAAACTTATTACTAACCTTGTGAAATGTCATTAATAGACCTGGGTAACGCTGCCTCACAATGGGTTGTAATTAACATTGATAAAAAAAATGGCCAAGTTTTAATTAACTTAAGTTTAGCTCTACATATTACAATGCAATAATTATAAGGCGATTTAAGTGATGTACTCTACATACATCACAAACAAAATACTATTTGTCCACTGTCCTGAAAAATTTTGAAGTGTAATTATTTTCATTACGGCAAAACATCTTGTCCAGTAAGCACTTAGAACTTCACACACGAGGATACCGAAGTGGAGCTAATATATCCTTGACGCCGTGCATAATAAACTTCTGGAGATAAAGATATGAGAGAGAATAAAATAATCACCTGCTATGATGTCATCCATGGTCAGTCACTGGTTTGTTATCATTGTGACGTCACATCTCTCACACCAATGCTTCAAACTCGCCAATACCTTCATTAATACCTTATAAAAAACCTCCTGGATAAAGTACGATTTATATTAAACTGCTCTGCTCGAAATCAAAGTCGACTGGTAAATTATTTTAAATTTCTGCAAAGTTATAAGCAATATTTAAGAGGGTTTCGCCAGTGGAGGTTCAAAAGCTTCGTAAGGTTCAAGCTGGTAGCTGCTTGATCGATGTGACAGTTTTTATTCAGGTTCAATACACAGGTTTAACCATTTACTGTTATCTTATATATAGTAAAATTGTGTAAATTAACTTAGGGGAACTCAGTAAAGTAAAGCATAGAGTAGCGTAAAGCATAGCGTAGGTAGACACTAGTCAGAGAAATAGCAAACATCGAACTAAAGCTAAAGGAATCTTATAGGAGTCAGGAATCGCGGGAAAAACTAAAAGCCATAAATGAAATCGAAAGAAACCCAAAGTATTTCTTTTCTTATGCCAAATCAAAGTCGAGAACAACGTCCAGTATTGGGCCCCTACTTAAACAAGATGGGTCCTACACAGATGACAGCAAGGAAATGAGTGAGCTACTCAGGTCCCAATATGACTCAGTTTTTAACAAGTGGCTAACGAGACTGAGAGTCGAAGATCTAAATTAATTTTTTATGAGAAAGCCACAGAATTTGGTAAACACAAGCCTATCTGACGTTATACTATACAGAAAGCCCCTTGTTATGCAGAACTTTTCGGGTAAATTAGGTAAATTTTGTCTCTAGGACGACTAAGGGTCGACAATCCAAATGAACTCTTTATGAAGGAAACCAAAAATTTGGTCATCTCAAAAATCTCAGATATTATCCAAACTCCATAAGACTTTGTTAGTTTAATATCTTTATTATGCACCCCATTTACCCATCCTGTGGGCGGTAGTCAAAAGATTACAGAGGTACATAATTGGTCCAGGGACTGGACTCCAAAGTTTTGATAGCTGAACAAGTTACAAAGGTAATAAACTAGATCTGGTCACAATCATGACAAGTTTCAAAGGTAATGAATCATAAACACATTAATACTTGGTTACAATCATGAATAAATTACAGAGTAATGAGCAATTACAAAACATTCTAGGGAATGCATGCATTGCCCCAACAGATGTTGCTAGGTGCCTGTCCCTCCTCGGCAGGACAGCCAAACAGCCATTGCAAACAGCAGCAGGTTGCGCCAGGATCTGCTGCTTGCAGGAGCACCAACGACCCTCCCCATGAGGTCCAAGAGGCCAGCGACTCTGCTAGCAGCCCGAGGGAGAGCTGCCCTGGGGAAATGTCAACGTCCAGGTGGACGCCAATTTGACTGAAGATCCCAGGCCCTTTGTAAAGGTGAAGGTGCAGCAGCTGTCACCTCTGTCTGCTGGGAGGGGCTGTTGTTAAATGACATGCCCATGCACTCTGCCCCCAGGCCCAGACTCATGGAACTCCGTGTTCATCAAGAAGTAAGCCCCTGTCGCATGCCTTCAGCATTCTTTGGAGAGCAAGCATGGACACAGGGGTCATCCCACACACTAAACACAACAGACATAGCCCCATTCCATAAGGGTGGCAGTGAAGCAATCGCAAAGAACTACAGACCGATAGCACTAACATCCCATATCATAAAAATCTTTGAGAGGGTTCTAAGAAGCAAGATCGCCAACCACCTTAATACCCATCATTTACACAACCCAGGGCAATACGGGTTTAGAGCAGGTCGCTCCTGCCTGTCCCAGCTATTGGATCACTATGACGGTCCTGGATGCTGGGTTTGACAAGGTTAGGTTAAGGATCCCTAGCTTTATTGACAAGCTATTTACAGGTTAAGGATTCCTAACTTTATTGGCAAGCTAAGAGCTGTTACCTACATCAGCTCATTTGAAAGCATTTTTATTGTTATGAAACATACAAGTAGGGAACAGGATGAAGTTGGAGCCATCTGTGGGCCAGCATTTTCATCTGATCAACTGACTTTACCTCATTGACATCATAATGCTATACGAATGTGTTCCAGACTCGAGTCATTCTGGGAATAAATGATCTCAGACGAAGTGATGTTCTGGAGAAGGGTACAGGCGGACATCAACCAAATCTTTCAGTGGGCTGCAGAAAACAATATGAAGTTCAACCTGGAGTTTACCTGGAGAGAGTTCCGGGGGTCAACGCCCCCGCGGCCCGGTCTGTGACCAGGCCTCCTGGTGGATCAGAGCCTGATCAAACAGGCTGTTGCTGCTGGCTGCACGCAAACCAACGTACGAGCCACAGCCCGGCTGGTCAGGAACCGACTTTAGGAGCTTGTCCAGTGCCAGCTTGAAGACTGCCAGGGGTCTGTTGGTAATCCCCCTTATGTATGCTGGGAGGCAGTTGAACAGTCTCGGGCCCCTGACACTTATTGTATGGTCTCTTAACGTGCTAGTGACACCCCTGCTTTTCATTGGGGGGATGGTGCATCGTCTGCCAAGTCTTTTGCTTTCATAGTGAGTGATTTTCGTGTGCAAGTTCGGTACTAGTCCCTCTAGGATTTTCCAGGTGTATATAATCATGTATCTCCCCCGCCTGCGTTCCAGGGAATACAGGTTTAGGAACCTCAAGCGCTCCCAGTAATTGAGGTGTTTTATCTCCGTTATGCGTGCCGTGAAGGTTCTCTGTACATTTTCTAGGTCAGCAATTTCACCTGCCTTGAAAGGTGCTGTTAGTGTGCAGCAATATTCCAGCCTAGATAGAACAAGTGGCCTGAAGAGTGTCATGGGCTTGGCCTCCCTAGTTTTGAAGGTTCTCATTATCCATCCTGTCATTTTTCTAGCAGATGCGATTGATACAATGTTATGGTCCTTGAAGGTGAGATCCTCCGACATGATCACTCCCAGGTCTTTGACGTTGGTGTTTCGCTCTATTTTGTGGCCAGAATTTGTTTTGTACTCTGATGAAGATTTAATTTCCTCATGTTTACCATATCTGAGTAATTGAAATTTCTCATCGTTGAACTTCGTATTGTTTTCTGCAGCCCACTGAAAGATTGGTTGATGTCCGCCTGGAGCCTTGCAGTGTCTGCAATGGAAGACACTGTCATGCAGATTCGGGTGTTTATCTGCAAAGGAAGACACGGTGCTGTGGCTGACATCCTTGTCTATGTCGGATATGAGGATGAGGAACAAGATGGGAGCGGGGTACTGTGCCTTGTGGAACAGAGCTTTTCACCGTAGCTGCCCCGGACTTTACTCTGTTGACGACTACTCTCTGTGTTCTGTTAGTGAGGAAATTATAAAATCCATCGACCCGACTTTTCCTGTTTTTTCCTTTAGCACGTTTTTTGTGCCTATTACCCCCCAGGGGTCACACTTGGGGAAGGGTTTTTGGCAAAGTCTGATATTTTACATTCCCATTCTTTTTGTTTTTTTCGTGCTTTTAAAGGATTTTTGTAGTGACCCAAATGGTTGAGCCCGGGACAGGACGCCCTTTTTCAAAAACCCATTTTCCCCGGGTTTGGTTTAACTGAGGGTTTTTTTTAGATGGGTGGTGATCTTGCTTCTTAGGACCCTTTAAAAGGGTTTTTAGGGAATAGGGGATGTTTTTTCTACCCGGCCCTGTATTTTTCTTTGCTGTTGCTTTACTGCCCCCTTTGTGGGTGGGGCTATGTCTGTTTTTTTTTTTAGAAACGGGTGGGCACCCCCCCGGGGCCCATGCTCCCCCCCCATAGGAGGGAAAAAGGCTCGGGAAAAGAGGCATCTTGCAGTTCTTGTGAACACGGAGTTCCATGAGTTGGCCCTGGGGCGAGTGCATGGGCATGTAAATTTATCGCCTGTTCGAAGTCATTTGGGTCGGTTTAACTTTGGGAAATAGGCTTTTTTGTTGTTAGAAACACGGCTTATCTCTAGGCTTTTTTGAACATAGAATCTTCATATACTTCTGCAACAAAAAATATGGGGGACTAGTACATCTAATAACTGCTTCTACGGGATGGTGATGTTTTGGGCATATGTCAAGAGGAAATTTTATAACTACAGGCCACATTTTTAAAACCCTCACACACCATGTTTTGGGGCCCCCCAATGACTCACACCAAACGTTTTTTGTTTAAAGGGGCCCCGAAGGGGGTTGAAGTATTATCCTGTTTCCCCCTCCCCACAGGAGAAAGTATCACTACAATCCCCCCCTTCTAAAATTCAGAGACAGTAATTCCCAAACTGTTAGGGGGGCGACGTACACGTCCCGACCTTCGACCTTTGACCCCTTTTTCACCAGGTTCAAATTTTTCCAGGGGGGTTTTTGCAAAACGGGTGGAGCAGAATCCTCTTTTTTCCATAGGGGTATTCAAGGGGTTTTCCAGGGGGGAAAACGAAGCATCTTGCACAAAAATTGGTTTTTTCTTGAATTCCACACAAATTTGGGGAAATTTCAATGGGGCTAAATGTTTTTGTAGATACTGTAGTTCTTTCCCCTTTTTGGGTTTAGCGAATGGGGGCGTAATGTGGATTAGCTTGCGGGAAAGCTTTTACCTCTTCCACTAGGGGATCCGTTTTTTATCCTACGGTGACTCTTCGGGAGAAGGGGTCCGGGTTTACATAACCAAGTGGGACGGGGGCTCCCGTAGGGGAAAGGGACGGGGTTTATTTTGGGATTTTTCATGGGGGGTTGCATTAGTAGTGTGAAACGCAATGATCAATGGGTGAAGAGAAATCAGGTGGGAAACGGGTTTTGCCAGTTTTTGAACAGGTAGGTTGCGCGATTTTCAATGTCACTGTAATGCCTTCCTTTTAAAACCCCTTTTTAAACCGCCCCAAATTTGACCATTGCCTTGAGGGTTTTTGCTTGTTTTTTCTGCTGCAGGCAATACCTTTGTTTACCCAAAAAAACTCCAAAGGGTTTCTTTTACTCAGAACAGGATCCCCATTCTGAAGGATTTTAAGCTGGCATCCCAAAAAAATTAAGAGAAAAAGGGAAAAGAAAAACTATAACAGTTAAAAGCAGTCAATTTGAAACGGGGGAACCAAAGGGAAACCTTAATATTTATCTACTATGTTAAGGAAAAAACCTATTCTGATTTGGTTTGGGTGGGGGCCCCTTTGAAATCTATATTAGTCTCCAAAAGGCTGGGTGCTTTTTATGAGATGAGCCCTTCCTGGCTGAGAAATTTTGGGGCTTGCACTCTCTAAAATTT